CCAATCATGTCAGAATAGGGAAAGGTTTAAATTTTGACGGTTAGCCGAACTAAAATGTTCAAAGAACCAGTCCCATATAGTTTACACAAAGATATGAATACGATTGTGTAATATTAGGTCTAAAAATTAATAGTAAGTTAAGAATTATACATCACTCTTACATATTCAACACTGCAATTTGATATGGAATATTCGAACCAATGATATTTGGGCCGTGATTTTAAAGTTATCCTCTATTTATAAGATATATAGGTATTCAATTAAGTATTAAATAATAATTAAAATAAGGAATTCGGCCTTTGTTAGTCACCTAAAGTTTCAACTCAAATGCATGTTTCTTAATAATTTTTGCTTCGTATTTGTATGAGATAAGGTCGACTAGATCTATGACTATGCAAATGGAGAAAAATGAAATTTGCTATTGCGGGACTATGATAGATTTTGAGATGGTTGGGTCGTGTATTGTAGGCTCTCAAATCTAAAGTAAGAAGAAGAGACGATGGGATAGTCGAACATGGTCTGTGATGTTTCATGTTGTAGGGTTTTGTGATAAGTAAAAGAATGATATGACAGTGTAGCTACGTATACGAATTGTTGAAAACAACATCATTTTGAAGTGGCTGGTGCTCGAATCAGTTGGTTAAATCGGTTGGATTTCCCACTAAGATAGACAAACTCGACTTTGACCCAGCCTAAGTAGACAACCAACTGGACCTTCGACACCCGCTGAGATACTCAGGTTTAGATAGAATTGGTTCGACCAACAGAGTCATACTCGAATTGAAAATCATGGTTATGACTTTTGTCTGTTTGAAGGCACATTAGTTCAAATCCCAATACTTGTCTATTTTCTATACAAAATAAAGATAAATAATGGCGAAGACAAAAATGTCATTCATACTTTTGCTCTCGTTGTAGGAAATTTGAAATGAGACGACAATTTTATCATGCCAATAGTATATATTGTGTAGAGTGTATATGTAGACATGTTCTTGCTCTACAAATTCATTTTTCATACATAAAAAGATGAAATAAACCAATCTATTAAACTCAACCTCTTCTAATGATTGTTGGATCCATCATGCTGTCAGATTAGGAAGATGTTTAAAACTTAACGGTTAACCGAGCTAAGAACGTTCAAAGAACCCGTCCCCATATAGTTTGCAGAAAGATATGAATATGATTGCCTCATAATAGTTCTATAAACTAATGCTAATGTAGGAGTTCAACATCGCTTCTACACATTCGATATTCCAATTCGATATGTAATATTGGACCAATGATATTTGGTCTATGATTTTAAAGTTATTGTCTACTTTTAAGATAAATAGAAATTTAAATTAAGTATTAAAGTATCAAAACACCAACAAGTACTGAGCGAAGATTTAGCGACCTTAGCTAACCGTTGAAAAGTTCTGTGATTTTTTAATTTTAGCTTCATTTATGTTTTTTATTTTAATTGATACAACTAATCTATGTAGTATGATTGGTTAAGATTCTTATCATAGTAGAAAATGACCACGGATCAAATCCTATTATGTGTATTTTTTTTTAAGATTAAATGAGATACAAATAGATCATTGTGAAACAAAAATACCCTTCCTACTTTCACTCTCGTTGCAGGAAAATTTGAATGAGGGGTGCGGAAAAAATATTCAGCTATCTATATACTTGTAGATATAGTAAAAGGACTTCCTAAAGAGTACACGAAGTAAATAGACATTACAATATAATCCTATAACTTTACATAAATTACTATGAGGTACTCAAAAACTTTTTCTTCGGACATCAAAGTTAGTGAGGGAGGCCAGCCGGCCGGCGTTTGTTTCCGTCTGAAACCGTAGGTGGGTGATCTCCAAATGGGCAAAGAGTCAACACGTACCCACAACTATCCACATTGTTGATTGGTTCTGTTCATCGTCATCACGTCTAATTATAGAAGTCAACTCGATCCCGACCACCAATATATGAACAGAACCTGATATATGCATTGTTAATTACCCGCTCAAACTATTTGCGCAATAACCCAACTGATATCATTGAACCTGAAAATAATATATGACTGAGATTCCCCACCCCGGCCCTCAGCAGCTTCATTTTTTCAGGGGCGTTTTTCAACGTGCTAGGCTGTTTGCCCTAAAAACAAACTGATTATAAAAAATACCCACCAAATAATGCCATTGGCAATTGCGAGATGATGCAGTTGCTATTATGCCCCCAATTAAATTATTGTTTGACGAAAGGAAAGTGACGCATAACATACAATGTCGATTGAGGAACAGCTGGTTGATCTGATCGATATTTGAACATATGCCCTCTCTCTCTCTCCAATCTCATTGTCTCAACATTTCCATATATTCCAATGAAGATTTGGATTGCAAAACATTGAATTTTATAGGCCTGCATATTGTATTTTCTGTTTAAATCGATTCCTAATATTGGGATTATAAGGTTACGAATATATGATATCTTAACCAATCAATGATATGGTAATAATTAGTAATTTATCTAGATAATTTGAGTTATTGCGGGAGATTTAATAGTAAGGCTTGTTAGCTATAACACTCTTAATAAAGAATCTTAAAATTATGTGTATATATAGGTCAGGTGTACGCTGTACGTCTGAATTCACACTTATTATATGTACTTTGATATGTTATGATGAATCGGAATCGTCGGTTATTATTTTTTAAGATTGAATGAATTTTATGGTTCGGGTTAGAGAATTAGGGACGGGGTTCACCCATTAGTGGTTAGTGTATACTATCATAACCAAAATTTCGTTTAATTTATGACCTAAATAATAAAACTCGATGGGCGTACGTTAATGTAAACGCAGGCGTAAACTAACCTGGATTATATATATATAGTTTGTACAAACTTTTTTTTTTTACCTAACCAAGACTGGGCTGCTTTTGTTTATATATGGAATGTGGGGAATCATGTTGATATATATACGTAGTTGAATGTGCTAGGTGAAATTAATTTGGTCGTAAAATACACAACGCTGACGACAACATTCCAAAGGCTAGCTACCATGCATCTTCCAGCCATTATAAAACTACTTCTATTAAAGGAAGCAAATTTGGCTACGTTAATTACTTCTTCTATTTTTTTACATGGGGACATATATATTAATTTTTATAGTTAGGTATTACCGAAAATATTCCAACATGAGATCTCCTAATTCAAAATTAGTGATATTATTATTAGGTCAAGCTTGCGTGTTTGCATTACGTTGTTTACTTTATTCGTATAAATATTTATTTACCTGCTAATTCGAACATTTAAAAAATATATATATATATATATCCATAAATATTATCACCACATACATACAATAATGTATCGTAGAATGAAAATAGAAAGATATAAAGACATACTTACATTACGAAGCTAGCATAAACAAGCTAATTGGATCAAATCTCCAGCTGGTGTAGAGTGATGTTCTTTTCATGTTGCTAGTGCCTAGTTGTCTTTCTTGTATGTCGTCAATCACAACCACTTACTCATACCCACCGCGGCTATCTCAGATATATGGAATTAATCACTTGTTAATTAGCAGGCAGAAGGGAGCTAATACATTATTCTCTTTGGCATGTGGAAGAAGATAAACAGAGTTCATCTTTATTTTATTTGATTAATTTTATGCTTAATGTTTAATATGATGTGCCAAAGTAAGTTCACATCATAACTTATATTCATTGGGCGACGACCCTTTCGCATTCGGTAAATTCAGATCACTAAGGTCAACTTTCGTCCCTACTCAAATTGGTGCGTAGTCAAGTTTCCTTATACTTTTGGACTCAAGGATCAATCTCCATGTTGTCCGAGAAAACCTTTATATGCCTAATGCCTCCATTACCTTTTAGATGCTCACGCCTCATAGAAACTGTCTATCTTGTCTCGTCTTCAACAATGCTACTATCACATGCATGTCCAAATTGTATATCTTTTTTCTCTGATCGCACTGCACGTCATGCAAGCAACACATCGCACTAATACAAATAGGAAAAGAACTCCAATTAGAAAACAAAAATTTGCCTTTCAAACAATGGGGAAAAAAACAACATATTTCGCACTGTTATAAACTTTACAGAATCTCGAATATCAATACAAAACAGAAATGGTTGGCACCATGGTTGTCAAACCGGTTTCATGCCGTCCGGTTCAACCGGTACCGGTCATCAAACCGACTGGAAAGGGGCCGCTATTTAAATGTGGTCAAATCCGGTCAATGCCGGTCAGATCCGGTCAAATCCAGAAATTTCGGCCGGTTAGACCAGAAACCGGAATTTAATGTTACACACATTATATCCAAAAAAAAACATCCTTCATAGGATTTGAACCAATTACCTCATGTTCATTTTAGTTTAACTTACACACCAGTAGGCTACAATCAATTTTGTTGTCTATATTAACCTTATATGTATATATCTAATACTAAATTTTACACAAATCATTATAAACATTAATAAAATTCATTTAATAAAATTTTATTTTTAAGCATCTAATTGTTTAGTATTAGTTACCAATTCTTAGCTATAAATTATTTTGTGTGAAATAATTCCTCTAATTGCTTTTTTATGACTAATTTATTTGGAATTGAGGATTTCCTTTTTCCTCATGTATTTTATTAAAACCGGCACAACCGGCATGAATACTGGTTGTACCACGGTCAGATCATTCCACTTACAAAACCGGCACACCGGCATAAACCGGTTTGACAACCATGGTTGGCACATTCTTCTCTAGCTTTCATATTCATGGAGGAGAAATTCATAATTAAATGGATAAAAAAAATAAAATTCCTCGAAACCATGGATCCCCACTTGTCTAGCTAGACAAGAGGCATATAGTTAACAATTAAATAGTTCTCAATCCTTAATTATTATTTGCAATAAACCCTTACCAAATCTCCCATCCTAGCAAGCTAGCTAGCTTACACACCTTTCTCCTTTCTATATATATACCTCAAGTACGATCTCTCACGTTATAAATTATCTTTCCCACAGCTAGCTAGCTAGCTTTGCCCCTCTGGTTTCGTTTGTAAGCAAATCAGAATCCCAGCTTTTCTTCTTCACCTGTAGACTAATGGGCATCAAAATGCTTGGCCGAGCTCCCTTGCTTGTGGTTTTCCTTCTTCTCTGCATTAATGCCGCCGTTGAGCAGGTCTCGGCAGATCTCAGGGTAGGGTTTTACCAATCCACTTGCCCGCAAGCTGAAACCATCGTCCGCCAACTCGTGCAGAAAAGATTCAACACCGATAAATCCGTCACCGCTGCCCTTCTTCGCATGCACTTCCACGACTGTTTCATCAAGGTAAGGCATCATGATCATTCTCATCGCGTAATTAATAGAGATGCACTAATTAATAGTGATTGTTATCAGCCCATCACTTCTTAAGAGTTATTTTTGTTAAAATAAAAATCTTAGGAGTTATTAGTGGATCTAAGTGTAATCTAGTAGGAACTATGATTTTTTCTATGTTTTGATAACATTGTAGACAGTGTGTTGTATTCTTATCAGAAAACATTAGAAGTAGTAGGATAAGGTCTATTAGCTCATCCCCTTCAAGATTTAAGTTCAACCATGAAAGTTATTGCTGTTTGTTTTTATTTTATAAGGGTGATATAGATTTTTTTTTTTTTTACTAAGGTACTACTTAAGGGATTCGAACCTCTGACCTTCAAGTTCTAGCATAGTGGTAACAAGCCCTTGCAGTTTGTTATTTTTAGTCACTGCTCACTCTACACCTTATTTTACCACCGGAATTTATCAATACGTACCATTACCATACATAGAATGCAGTTTTTTTCTTTCTTTCAACAATGTAGTTAAAATCACGCTTCAAAACTTAAAAGTTTACGCTTTTATGTTTCTAGATCACCAAAATGTTTTTATCTAGAATCTCAATTTTCCTAACTAATATGGTCAAAATTGCGTTTTAAAACTTAAAAATTTACGCTTACAGGTTAAAAAAGTCACGTCACGGTATGATTTTTATCATGTATATGTTTTTTTATTTAACAAATACTCAATCTTCCCCAAATGTAGGGGTGTGATGCATCTATCCTAATAGACTCGACGGCCCAAAAGCCGTCGGAGAAAGCCGCGGGACCCAACCAAACGGTCCGAGACTTCGACCTCATCGACCAAATCAAGACGGCCCTCGAAGCCGCTTGCCCTTCCCGCGTCTCCTGCGCCGACGTCATCGCCCTCGCCACCCGAGACGCCGTCGCCCTCTCCGGCGGGCCCACCTACCCTCTCCCAACGGGGAGGCTCGACGGCCTGACCTCCAACGTTAACGACGTCAACCTCCCGGGCCCCACCATGCCCGTCTCCTCGGCCTTCGCCCAGTTCTTCAGGCCCAAGGGCTTCACCCTCAACGAGATGGTCACGCTCCTGGGGGCCCACACGGTCGGGGTGGCCCACTGCGCGTTCTTCCAGGACCGGGCCTCCAACTTCCAAGGGACCGGAAAGCCCGACCCGACCATGGACCCGGCCCTGGCTGGCACCCTCCGGAGGACCTGCTCCGCGAGCAACAATCCGACGGCGTTTCTGGATCAGAACACGTCGTTCGTGGTTGACACGTCGTTCTACAGGGAGCTGACCGTGAAGCGCGGAGTGATGCAGATTGACCAGGAGCTGGCCGCCGACCCGTCCACGTCGGCGATGGTGGCGGGGTTCGCGAGGAGCGAGTCGAGTTTCCGGCAGAGCTTTGCCGCGGCGATGGTGAAGATGGGTAGCCTCGTGGGTCAGGGTGGTGAGGTAAGGAAGAGCTGTCGCGTGTTTAATCCCAAGAGCCCCGTCGGTGGCGGTCGTCCTCCCGTGGTGCAGCCGGCACCCCGTCCAGTTGTCAGACCCCGTACTCCGGTCCCGAGTACTCGTCGGCCAGTTGTGAGCCCTCGTCCGCCGGCGGTGAAACCCCGTCCTCCGGTTTCCAGACCTCGTTCACCGGTGGTGAGTCGTGCGCCGCCACCTAGGAGCGGTGGCAAGAAGAATGTGCCGAAGACTAATGCTAAGAATGTGTCCAAGACAAAGGGAAACCAGAAAAAGAAACCTGGAAAGGGCAATTAAAATTAATATTATTTTTATTAATGTTGGATTGGGGAGATTACTTGTCCACATTTCAGTGGCTTATTGGGAGTTAAAATTGTTCAGCTGACTTGGTTCTCGTAATTAAGAGAATCAGAGAATGACATGTATACAAGTGAAAAAAACCTCCCGCTGTAAAGCAATCAAGGTTGAATTAATAATTGTGCCAATGTAGATAAAATGTGGCAGTTAAGTGAATAAATATCTGCAAATTATGTTTAAAATATAATTTCTCCCACGTAAACTAATTTATGCCGATTGTTAAGTTGAGAAATTTCATAGCATCTTAACATTAAAAATGAGTAAAGGTGGTAAATGAATTGGGTCTATGGATTAGTGTATCCATGGATTAAGTGGATTGGATCAAATGGATTGGTGGATTGGATCATAGATTCAAATGGCACTAAACATTGGACCAATATGTAAATTTTGAAAAGTATAAGTCGAAGACCTTAGTCTCCCTCCTGACAATTTTTCAAAGAGTGACGACTTGGCAGATGGGGACGAGTAGGTGGCTTCAGATCTCGAGGAGCATCTCTTCCTACCTGGAGATCTTCTGCCCTGTCGCCTCCAGGAGCAAGGTGGACCTTTAACTAACACTATTGTTGTGCAGTTTGCGGAGTTGGCCCTTAAGAACCAGCAGATTCTCGCCTAGCATGCCCAGTTCCATGAGCAATTCTGGGCATAACAAGCATAGTTCACAGCTCGATTGGACAGGATGATGATGCGTTCGTGACTGAAATCGACTTCACCGGCCTCTGAGCTCCAAATTGATCGTGGACTTCTTATTTATGTTTTGTGTTTTGTTTTATTTGTGTGAGAAGTATGCAACTGGATATTTTGTCTTCTTTCTTTTGTGCCCCTTTGGGCTTATGACTGTTTCTGACGTTCACATGATCTAGTGGTTGTGTTATGTTTAGCCCTTCTTGCAGTGACTAGTCCTTCCTCTAGTCTACTCTTTGTGACTGATCTCATCTCAAGTCTTGCTCACAACCTCTTTTCAGCGATAACATCGTTCTCATTCCCTAACTTTGCTCCATTGAGGGTAATGTCGAACTTAAGTGTGAGAGGTGTTTATTCTCTAAGTGTTTGGCGTTGTGTGTGTGTGCTTGGAGCCTTGTCCACTATCCAAATCTTAAAATTTGAGGCTCCAAGTATGGATGTTTGCATGATCATATAGGCACTGTGATTTTGTATGGTGAACCGATTGGCTGTTAGCATTGATGCATGAATGACTTGTTTGTGATTGAGACAACTTATAATGATGACTGAGACATGTAGTAGAGTTGTGTAGGGGTCTAGTTTTCAACGGTTTGCTTACCAACTATGACTTGGATTGATCACTAATTTCTTACAGTCGTTTATGCATCTAGTTCAGGGAATCATAATGAGAGATAGAGCATATAGGTAGCAATGTGAGATTTTAGTCTGCTCATTTCGTTCTTATGTGATAAATCCCTCTTGCCATGATGTGTAGCAGTCACATTGTCGCTAACAAGGAATATGGAGGAATAGGGTTCGCCCACAGCTAGGGATGTCAATCCAACCCGTAACCATGGGTACCCTACCCGATCGTAATCGGTCAACGAGGGTAATTACCCGCTTTGACGGGTTAAGGGGCGGGTACGATTAATACCCGGTTTCAAAATAAAGGGTAGGGTACGGGTATGGTAATCGATAATACCCGACCTGTTATACCCGCCGCGCTAACCAAATGGTCAATTTCCCTAGCCCTAACCATACCTAGAAGTCAATTTTCCTTGCCCACACACAAGTGAGGTGCTTGCTCAGACTCTTCTTGAAACTTTACTTGCTTGGGATATTGACACAAAGGTATCTACAATTACCTTGGATAATTGTTCTACTAATGATGCCTTGATGGATGTCATGAAGCATAAGTTAAGTAGTGAGCATTTGATGTGGTATGGTTCTAATATTGTCTTTGTTGTTTTTGTTTATGTGTGGATTGTTGAAGCTAGAACAAATATGATGTATTGTGTTTTTGTTTGTGTGGATTGTAGAAGCAAGAACAATTATTATATGTTTGCTGTTTTTATTTGTGTGGATTGTTGAAGTTAGAATAGTTACAAGTATTGGGAATTTTTAATGGACAACAGTATGTATGTGCATATATGCGTATAAGTTCATATTTTAGGATTTGTACCCATGGTTACTCGAATACCCGTGGTTACCCGGTGGGTAGGGTATGGTTATATCATTTTCATACCTGGTGGTTATTTGGTCGGGTATTTTAGGAGGCTCTACCCGGCGGGTTAGGAGTTGGTATAGGGTAAACCCAGACCCGACCCTACCCACAGCCAAATTGATTGTCCTGGTGTCATACCCCTTAGTAAGCCCCTTTGAGCCTTTTAACTTTCTTTCTTTGTGTCTATAATCTTCTGCTGGAAATAAAAATGAGGGTTGGAGGAAGTCTTAAAATTTGGGCATCTGTTTAAAAAGAGAATGAATGTGGCAAAAATTGTGGTTCTCTAAAAGAAGAAGAAAAAAGAAAAATGGAAGAAAAAGAGATATGCCACAAAATTATAATCTTGGTTATAAAAATGAGTATTTCAGTGTGGACTTGGTTGGAGGCACTATTACATTGTTACCTCCTTTGGAGTAAAATACCTCGGCTATCACTAAAGTACGAGAATTGGGGAAGCTATAACACTTAAGTAAGAATATGACATCGCGTACCACTGAACCCTATTATCTATGCATCCGGTACCACTTAAGTATAGTGTTAAGTGCATTCCATAAAGTTGACATAATATTCTTGGAATATTCCATTTTCTAAATTTCACAATTGGCACTTCTACATTTCTTATTTCTTATTTTAAAAAATTATTTGGATTTATGAAAACATCATTTTTTATTTTTTAATTGAAATAAAAAAATCTTTGGACTAATAAATCCTCTTTTGAAGACTCTCGTATCAAACCAATTTTGGAATAGGAAATTTATAATTCATTATAATTATAATTATTTTTTAAAATATTAATTACTATCTTCTAGTATATTTATTATCCCTTCTTGATATTCGTTTATTATTTTTACCAATTTATCTATTCTATTGAAAAAATTCCATCAGTCATTTTAATAATACTATGCTTAGAAGGTTTTCTAATTTTTATATTAGTTAATACTTGTTGAAATATAGTTTAGGATATTTTTAACAGTTTGGGTACCAAAAGGTAATTAAAAGTTTGGGTTGGATGGAAAACTAGACGGATGCACTTTTTGCGACTTTAGTGGAACCTGACGCCCTATTCAAACTTAAGTGGTATGTCTACCCCAATTCTCAAACTTAAGTGGTACCCGAGGTATTTTACCCCCTACTTCACTCTTGTGATTTAAAGAACTTGATTAATGCAAAATAGCAGAGAGAAAGTAATACGTTTGATTGAATGTTATTGTGCTATATTTGGAGATGTGGAACATTAGGTCATGAACATTAGCACCACCTAAAAATCTCGTTCCCATGTCCATGTTCTATATCCCGGTGACCACCTAGATGGCTCAGTAGACATTTTCATGACTTGATTTCTATGCATGGGCGAATGTTTTGAATGAGTGGTTGATTCAAGTCTATGTTGGTCGGTGTACAGACGTGAGACTCTTCATTTGCCTGATTTTGTTGCACTCGAATGTCATCTGTGGTGGTTGTCAAAGTTATTGTTGTTGTTGTTGCTGTTGTTCATGTGTTAATGTTTAGTAGCGGTACGATTCACGTGTTTTGTGCCTCTATAATACATCCACAAAGTTTGCATGGTTAAAACGTTTGAGCTTACCTTGTGTCTAACTTGGTTTGCTTGAGGACAAGCAAACGTTTAAATGTGGGAGAATTTGATAACGCTTGATTTACACATATTTAGTACCCCATTTCTTAGGAATTTGAGATCATATTATTGCCTATTAAATCGAATTTACACTACGTATTGTCTATGTATGATACTTAAGGTCCTAGAATGTGAAACAAGGCTTATGATCGAATTTTGTGGTAAGCTAGAGATAACGGGCAAACGTTAGCTAGACTAGGCAGATTACCCACCTTGGGGCCTTGATTACCCGACCGGGAATCTTGGAGATAAAATCGGGGATAATCATAGGAGTTGTTCCCCCGGTCAGATGGTGCTTTTACCCGGTTGGGGAAACTGCAGGCTGACTCGCTAAAACACAACACCAAACTACGATCAAGTGTAATCGTAGAATGGAAATGCAAAATAGTGGATAAGTTTAACTTATCAACATGGGGTCTAGATCTACTGTCTACTCCATAAACTTCTATTATCTATCAAACTAGGTGTAGTGAGTTGTTCAAATGCAAATTAAACTGATAGCAGGAAATGTTCTGGTTTTTCAAGTATGCTAAAGGTCATCCAGGTATGATTCCCCCTAGTATGTAACTAGTTCAGATTATATGTTCCCAATTTACTCCAGTTGATAGATATACTGCGGAAAGTTCTTGACAAGTCTAAAATCTCGACTAAAGTAATCTAGACCCTCTTAGTTCGAGCACCCGGCGGGAGACTAACCTCCACTGGCATAAACTAACCAAGGTAATAACACACCAAACTTCCTCTACTAGCTTTAATTCCACTATAGAGAAGTGAAGGGACTTATCAACTAAAGCAATAGATTTACCAATCCCAATTTAAGGCTGCTCTGTTAACCTATACAGAGACTTTCATTCTAGGTTAAAGCAGGAATCACAAAAATTTGAATAAAATCAAGACTCGTGCAATTATGATTAATGCCTCAATTGAATATATCGAATCAATAATTCGCAAACGGGGTTCATAAAACCATTCCTGACATACAAAACTAGATTTCTTCATATCCAGATGAAAAGGGAGTTTACTCCATGGAAAGAAGAGGAAACATCATGCTAGGAGGAGAAACCATCGTGCGGACAATGAAAATCTGCTCCAAGTGGCCAATCAGTACTCTGAGAGTGAGGAATCGAGCTCCAAGGTCTTCAGATAGCTCCAATCCTTGCCCAAGGGTTGTTCTTCGTCACTTTCTCTCTCTGCTCTTTAGAACTAAATTTTTTTGGATCCTTTGCAATTTGCTCGAGCTGCTCCTTTTATATGCTGGAGATTCGCGATTTACGGCCAAAGTTACGGCCGTAACTCCCACTCCCAGCCTGTAACTTCTCCATAAAACATCATTGTCTCTGTGCTCCGTAAACCAAGAGTTACGGCTCCTTTAGAGAA